TCGATACAGTATCAGGAAATGAAATATCGTGATATTTCAGTGTATCGATATTTTCTTACACCACTGATCACCAATGGGTTCTGAAAGGCTGGACTGCTACGTGAAGAGGACACCACAGCTTCAGAGCCAGCATTACCCCGGGAGGACAACAGATACCACTGTGTGACGCAGCTTTTCTGAGCTTGTTTAACTCCGACACTGAAGAGGAGGACTTTGATGGTTTCAGTGCGCCGGAGGAAGATGAATGAGACGTTGTGTTGGACCAGAAAATGTTAAAGAAAACTACCAAAATAAGGTCAGTTAAATGAACCGTATTCCTCCGAACTTTAACTCAGAAAAGTGAATTCAACATCAAAACATAAAAAGCAAACCTTTAGGACGACAGTTTTGGGTGTACTGTTTTTTTTTTTATGTTGGGGGTGCGGCTTATAGTCTGGTGCAGCTTATATGCTAATGTTCGCAGGTTTTTTTTTTAAATGGCAGGTGCGGCTTATAGTCCTAAAAATACGGTATAAGCATAGCTCTATAATATATGATAATTAAGGATGCTGCCGGCTAAAAAAAATAATGTAAAAACTTCTGTCTGTATACGTTAGGAAATAAAATCCTATTGGCAAAAGAAAAAGTTTGATGATACGCCTGTCAACACACACTAATGACTTCCTCCATCTACCTGGAAAAGACTCGGTCATTGAAGGTGTCACAAGGTCCCGTCCTCAAGTTGTTCTGGTTGGCAATCATCTCCTTCACCCACTCCACCCACGTGTACAGACGAAGAATGCCGGCATCGGCCATGGTTTCTACAAAGTTGGCGTCCTCCACTGTGTCCCCGGCATCAGCCAGAGCCAGACGCATGCCTTAATGAGGGAAATAAGGTGTGAAACAGCAGGAAGTGCAAAAATCAACTAAACAGGAAAGGTGTAGTTGAGGTCGCAGACTGATCTCAAGGGAGGAGCTATGTACAAATGGGCGGTGCTTTGTACCAGAAAACATTTAGGCAGCTCCACATGACTACAGGAGATTCAAGTATTTCTCAAACATGCATGGATGACTCAAAACAACACTTTGGATGTGTTTTTGATAACATGATATGAAGCTTAAATAAGGGGATTTTGCATAACACCTCCCCTTTAAAAAAGATAGCAGAAATGGACAGGGTTTAATCTAATCACCCAGGTACAAAAAAACAAAACCTACGCAGTAAAGAAAAATAAATGCAAATCTAAAAGTGCTTCTGTGCATGGATGGCATTTCAAATAGAAATTTTAATCTGGAATCATATTAAAAACTCTCCTGCGCTGCACGTTAGGACTCAGTCTTTGCTCCACAGTTAAAAAAAATTATATATACACACACACATATACGTACAGTGGTTTGCAAAAGTATTCATACCCCTTGAACTTTTCCATATTTTGTCACATTACAACCACAAACATAAATATATTTCACTGG